ATTAAAGATTTGGAATCCAGGTTCGCCAATTTTCTATGGGGATTTGAGGAGGGAAAACCGAAACGCCATTGGGCGGTTTGGCGGAAGATCTGCTACCTAACAGATGAAGGAGGGCTCGGGATTCAATCGCTGGAGACGGTGCAGCAGGCCTTCTCTGCCAAGCTTCTCTTTGGATTCATGAGGGGTGGATCTCTGTGGAGTGATTTTATGCACTCCCTCTATCAGTTTGATCGGCGCGCAGCATCGATCACCTGGCGTCGAATGCAACACCTTCGGGATTTTGTAGAAGACAACACGCAATCTGATTCTGGCACTCCAGTTTGGATGCCTGATTCCTATGGAGACTTCACCCTATCATCGGCACATGAGGAGTTGCGTTCCAAGTCAGCCAAAAGCCTCTCGTCAGACTGTATTTGGGGTAATGGAATCCCGTCGAAAATTTATGTGTTTATGTGGAAACTGCTTCGGAATTTTCTGCCATTCCCAGATGTTTTGCAGCGTTTTGGGATATGTTTGTCGTCGGTTTGTCCACAGTGTAATCATGCCTCTGCGGATATGGAACATTGTCTATATCAGTGTCGGGTGTCTGGCCAGGTTTGGTGCCACTTTCGGGGTCTCTTTGGAGTGACGACTGCTGCTTCTTCTATTCGCTCAGAATGCCACGCCTGGTGGCTGCTCTCTCCTCCGGGTTCAGCGATCAATTGGTGTGCCAAGTTGCTGCCAAGCATTGTTTTATGGTGTCTCTGGTGCTCTTACAACCAGGGCGTTTATGGTGAAGGAGCTGCGACAGCCTTGCGTTTGATGGGTCAAATCAAGCAAGAGATGCTGCTGATTGCTCTTACTCGGCAGGTTCGTCGCACAGGTCCAGCTGATGATCTACTGCTGTCATCTGGGTTGCTGCTACGATTTCAACCGTCACCAAGGAAGATCACAGTCTGAGTTAAATAGCTAACCCCGCCAGCTGGCAGACTCAAGCTTAACACGGATGCGGCTTTTGGAGCCGCTGGGGCTGCGGGAGGAACTTGCTTGCGGGACTCTTGCGGGAGCCTTATAGCGGGGCTTTTCTTTCGTATGGAGGCCTCGTCGACTTTGGAATCCGAAGCTTTACCTCTTCAGCGTGCTTTCTACTGGTGTACCGCTTTTGCCAAAATTCCGTCCGTGGTGGAGGTGGATTCTCTAGCCCTTGCTACTTTGTCGGGGTCCGAGATTTCCAGGATTCATGACGAATCGAACATGCGGTGCTCTTCATTCGCTCTTGTCTGAGTTCATGGGGTTCTACAATCAGACATGTTTATCGCGAGGCCAACCAGGTGGCGGATGGTCTTGCAACAGCGGGTCTAAGTGTTTCTTTCCCTAGGCTTTTTTACTTCCGCTAATTCTTTGCCGGAAAAAGGCTAAATTGGCTTTATTGTATGATCTTGGAGGTTTTGCCTCCCCTAGGGCTGTTTGCCGTTAATAAACAAGCTTCTTACGTTAAAAAAAAAAAACTAATTTGTTATTTTTTGTTTCATTTTATTTTTTCCTTTTAAGAGTTGATGTCATCGATTCAGATAAAAAATAGTTTGCTTTGGTGGAGATGGAGGATTTGCTATCTTTGTGGGGAAGAGCCTGAATGACTTTCCAGAAATGTTAATTCTAAACGAAACTAGCATGGGTTTGAGTGAAAACATGTTGATAGCCGATAAGAGTTGGCGTATGACAAGGAATCGGTGAAGACAGAGCATGAAACATTGGTAACACAATTGACCGACGAGCAAAAGAATTTTTACGCACAAACACTGCTTTGAGTCTTTGGACAAAACTAAGAGGGATCTATTGAGGTTCACCATACTGGGTAGTGTTGAAAAAACTTTTGGTGGAAAGACAGTAGTTTTGGGTGGCCATTTTAGACAGATCCTACCTGTTATTCGAAAGCAACAAGACCATTAGTTGTCGGAGCAACTATTAATTCTTCATGTCAGTGGACAAATTTCGAGGTATTAAGACTCACCAAGAACTTGAGACTACGTACCTAGCTTTAGAGGAAGATATACAGACGGTTGATTGGTTTTCTTAATATTAATTAATTAATTTATTGGTAAAAGAATTAATAAAGTTTAATTGTTAACAAAATGTTATATGAAAATTAACTTATATCTATTAATTAGTATTTTTTTTTTTTGGAAATTCATCTTAATAACGTAATTTCATAAGGAAATAATGATTTATTAATTATTATGTAATTTTATAAGGAAATAATGATTTATTAATTATTATTTACACCAATAATAATAATTCGAATATTGATTTTACACCAATCTATATCTATACTATTAATGAAAGTAAAATCCTCCTCTTCAACTTTCTCACCCAAACTAATATGCATATTAATTAATCTATACTATTAATAAAAATTGGTGTTATCGGATTCAGATAAGAAACAATTGCCTCTGGTGGAGTTGGAGAAGTTGCTCTTTTTGTGGGGGAAGAGCCTGGGGGACTTTCCAGAAATGCCAATTCTAGACGAAAGCAGCATAGGTTTTGATGGAAAACATGTTGATAGCCAAAGAGTTGGCGTATGACAAGAAATCATTGAAGACAGAGCGTGAAATGTTGGTAACACAAGTGACAGACGAGCAAAAGAATGTCTATAATCTTGTGATGAATGATATTGATTCTTTGTGTATGGTTACGGAGGAACGGGCAAGATGTTTGTGTGGAGAATGTTATCGTCAAAGATAAGGAGCCGCGGTGATATTGTTCTCAATGTTGCTTCGAGTGGAATAACATCTTTGCTATTATCGGGAGGGCAGGACGACACATTCAAGATTTGCTATACCACTCTCTTTGAACGAAGATTCTATGTGCAATATATCGCAAGATAGTGACCTTGCTGAGCTTATAATAAGGATCAAATTGATAATATGAGACGAAGCACCGATGACACACACATACTATTTTGAGGCTTTGGACAAAACCATGAGGGATCTATTGAGGTTCGTCATACCGGGTAGTGCTTAAAAGACATTTGGTGGAAAGACAATAGTTTTGGGTGGAGATTTTAGACAGATTCTTCCCGTTATTCCAAAAGGAACGAGACCAATAGTTGTTGAAGCCAAATAACCGTGGACCAAAATTACAAGATTTGAAAGTAGTGGATCAATCCTGATAGTGCCACTATAGTCATGTGACTAAAAGTGCAAAAAATTCACCTCTTTCATTAGATAAGTATAAAACATATATGTATAACACTCCCATTCCAACATTATCTTGTCATGTCTGGCTTCCTACTTCGTTAAAAATTTTCATAAAACAAACTCGTGGGACAAAACTAGTTGAAGAAAATAGTACATGATTGACGGTAAATATGTTACCGGAGTATAATTTGAAAGAAATTGTTAAGTAGAGTGTACAAGGTCCAGAGCGTCTTTCCCCTACTTGTTACAGAGAGTCAGAGACTCAACTTTTACACTATACAATGATAATTACTACAATAATGCTACTAACGGCCTCCTAATAAGTGTAACAACCCCCGTGTCAGAGCTCCTCAGTAATTGTTGTGCGCTCTCCTACATAACTTTGATTAGGCGGTGTCCTACTAAGTGCATTGAACTTTAAGAACCATTACACTTTCTCGTGCTTCACTCTTGACCGTTACTAACTAACCGTGTTGATTACTTTAACTGCTTCGGGTCAGTCTAAATTAAATGTGCTTCAGGTCGGGTCTAATGACTAATCTAATTATCCTATCACCAGCCCCCTACTCCCAAGCTAAGAGCATAGCGGAGTCAACTAGGGAGTAATGATAGTGTATACTCATTAAAAATCCCATCACTAGCCCCCTACCCGCAGACTACGAGTGTAAAAAGTAGGTCGACTAGAATTTTTTAAAAAATTTTGTATTATAATAATAATTTTTAATTCTATTTCTATTTTTTTATTTATTTTATTTTTTTCTAGACTCGGAGTCAAACCGACCGGGGTTGAGGCATTGCCTCGGCGATGGTGGCTGAGACGTGGCCTCAACCAAGGTGGCCGAGGCACAGATCTTTGAAATTTAGACTAGGTGTGTGACACCCCGATATTTTAAACAATCTCATTTTAATAAATATATTCTCGAAAATTTTATTTATTTTTCAATCCTAAATATTTTAACATAAATGCTTTCAAAACAAATTATTTTATTTCAAAATTTTAAACAAATTATTTTATGACCCATGATTATTATATGCCTAGCGATTTTTCAACCATGACAAAAATAAACGTTTTGCACCAATTGTGTAAAAAAATGTACTTAATAAAGACAAGGTGGAAAATGATTTGCAATTGTTATACCATTGACTAGCGTCCAACTTGCATGGTAAATCTTAGTTCTTATAGTTGATATATATACACATAATATGTTAACAATAGAAACCCTTGTCCAAGGTATAATTTGCCAATGAGTTACTAGTTGTGCAACCAAATATGAAAATAATTATTGCTTATATATCTTCTTTCAATAAATACATTGTTTAGGCAAGAGTTGTTAACAACATTTTGTATGCCCTATTCTTTCTTAAACACAAGAAATTTGAACAGAGTATTTACATTTGCTATTGGACTGAACTAGAACATGACACCAACCAACCAACCCTCTTACAGAGTATACTCAATATAACATCCTTCTGGGAGTGGTGGAGAGTCTCTAGCTGAACCTTGCAACTATCAACCCTGACAGAGCCTACAAAGGCAAATACAATGACAACCAAACATATATAGGTATATGTACGAAGAACGATCTTGATGGTCGTCCAGGATTCTATTCTTTTCCGCTTTAGGTACATTTCCACTGAGAAATACACTACTACTAGCCAAAAGGTTATTGCTCCTGAAAATCCCACCACCTGGTTGAAGTAGGGGAATAGTACCGCGGTTTCAGTGACTGTAGCAACATAAGCAGTTTGGAAAACCAATTTCAGTAAATTCAACTTAAAACCTGGTAACAATAACCGCTTTAGATCATAATCTTTGTGCACAACACCACTCTCCGGGAATTTCTTCCCAAGCCAGCTCTTAAAATTTTCAAACAATGGCTGGCTGAATACCTAAGAATGTACTACATACAACAATAGCGAGCGAGAGAGAGAGACTGTTAATTTGACTAAAATTAGTAGAGTGAGGTAATTTGGAAAAGAAGTAGAATGTACCTAATATGCTCCAACAAGATGAACCACGACACATGCATTTGCGATATCAACTAGCCAATATGGCTCATAGAAACCGAATCATGTCAGAAGGTTCCCAGGCGTGTTGGTGCCAAAGGCTGCATATATGTTAGAAGTTTGTTAGAGGGTTGCTCTCAGCTACCCATTTGAATTTCAAATAAGTGGCTTATCTTTTGTTAGACTATGTATATATAGGCTTCTCTATACAGCTTATCATTTATTCAGTTCAATACATACACTTCACTACAAAGTTCTACATGGTATCAGAGCGGTGAGTGTGGGTGGTGGGCTTTGGTCGGAAAGAGGAGGCGACACCGTCGGAAGGAGCGGAGCTGCCACCGGAGGTCTCACGCGCCGCCGCGGTCATAGGTTTCCGACACCACGCGCCGCCGCGTGCGCAGTTCTCCGGCAACTACTCCGGTCGAGGCCGATACCGTTGGTCTCGCCTCTGAACACCCAGTACGGCTGTAGTGGTGGTGTAGTCCGGTGTTGCGAAGGTGTTTCTTGGCTGTACGGTCTTCACTTCGCCACTGCGTTTGTTTGGACTGTTGCATTGTGGACTACTGCATTTTGGGTTGCTGCTTTTCCAGGTTGGTTTATTTGTTTATTATGGATGAAGGTAGGACAGTCATGGTGGTGTCAACTCCATCTAAATTGATTGATATGGTGTTAGCACCTGATGGGTCCAATTTTGGGGAATGGAGGTTTTTTAGTTGAAGTTAACCTGAGAGGTATGGGTAAAGCTGGACATTTAACTAAAACATGTCCGGTGGACCCTACTGAAGTCCAAGAGTGGGAGAAAGATGATAACGCCCTATTTTCGCGTATAATAAATTGCATTGATAGGAAAATAATCCTATCTTTACAACATTGTAAAAATGTGAAGGAACTGTGGGAATTAGTAAATAAATGGTTTAGCGGGGCAAATAATTTGAAGTTGTATTAGTTGTCTCAGGATGTTCATCGACCGTCTCAAAAAGGGCGAGACATCAAGGATTACTATTATGACTTCAAAAATGTGAGTGAGACATTGTGTGCTGTTATGCCGATTATTGATGAAGTGGATCAAATGAAAAAGCAACGTGATTAGTTGCATATCTTTAGTTGGATTTCTGGGTTGGATAAGGAGTATGATGTATTGAAATCCCAATTGTTGGGGAATAAGGAGTTGGACTCACTAGACCAAGTTTTTGCTATGGTTCAAAATGCGTCAATTAATCTTAATATTGATGGTATGTTGGAGAAACAAGTCTTTCTCTCACAAGGAGATAGTGGGAATGATAATGCCAATAGTCGAGGAGGTCGGTTTAGGGGACGGGGTAGAGGGCGTGGAGGAGGTCGAGGACAAAGGGCTTGCTACAATTGTGGCGACCCCGGTTATCTGCGCAGCCAATGCCCACAGCTCTTCGACCACAAGAGATTTGCTAATTCTGCCTCTAAACCAAAGGGAACATGGTTATGATAACTGAGGAAGAATTGTCTTTGTTTAATCAATTGAAGCTATCTTCCTCGCAGCCTCCCGCTAGTCCAGGGCCATTGCCGTCTCCTTCAGCTACCTTTGTTTAAGCAGGTAATCCTATTGCTTGTGTTTCATCCTCGTCTCGACAGTGGGTTATTGATTCTGGAGCCAGTAACCACATGTCAGGTAATCTAAGTATGTTTTCTGAATATTGTTCCTTTAAATATGGTCATACGGTTACCTTAGCAGATGGTTCGTCCACCTCTGTTTTAGGTAAAGGTAGTGTGAATGTTAGTTCGTCGTTGCCTCTCACATATGTGTTATATCTTCCAAAGTTCCCGTTCAATTTGTTGTCAATTAGTCAAATTACCCGGAACCTAAATTGTTGTGTCATGTTCTTCCCTGGTTATTGTCTGTTTCAGGATCTGTTGACGAAGAAGGTTATTGGTAAAGGGAAGGAGATTGTCGGGCTATACGTGTTAGAACACCTGTCAAAGGGTTCAGGAGGTGTCCCGGTTGGTTTGTTGGGGAGTATATCTCCATTGCAGTTGCACTTCCGGTATGGTCACCCGCCTTTGTCTGTCTTAAAGAAGTTGTGTCCGGGGTTAGAGTCTTTGTCTACCTTGCAATGTGAGTCATGCGAGCTTGCTAAACATTGTAGGCTTCATACCCTCCTAGGGTCAATAATAGAGTAGAATCTTCATTTCAATTGATTCACTCAGATGTATGAGGTCCATGTCGAGTAGTATCGAAGTCTGGGTTTAAATACTTTGTAACTTTCGTAGATGATTTCTCTAGATACACTTGGCTATACCTCATGAAATCTAGAGATGAGTTGTTTGGGATTTTTTGTAATTTCTATGCTATGGTCAAAACTCAGTTCAATAAAGTGGTACAGGTTTTACGGAGTGATAATGGGTTTGAGTATTTTTCTCGTCCCTTTTCGAGTTATATGAGTCAGAATGAGATGATACATCAGTCGTCTTGTGTCAGCACTCCTCAACAGAATGGTGTGGCGGAACGTAAGAATCGCCATCTGTTGGAGGTTGCTAGAGCCTTGTTGTTTCAAATGAAGGTTCCCAGCGTGTTCTGGGCAGATGTTGTTCATACAGCGTGTTTCTTAATAAACCGCTTACCTACAAGAGTCCTTGGGGGTCAAAGTCCTTGTCATTTTATCTATCCATCCAAACCGTCGTTCTCCCTTCCTCCTAAGGTGTTTTGGTGTACTTGTTTTGTCCAGGATGTTCGTCCTCAAAGGGGGAAACTCGATCTTAAGTCATTAAAGTGTATTTTCGTGGGGTATTCGAGTACTCAAAAATGGTATTGTTGTTATTCCCCGGATTTGGGGCGATACTTAGTCTCTGCTGATGTCTCCTTCTTCGAGAATACTTTGTTTAGTGAAGTGCTCCCTGGTTCGTCTGGGTGTAGTTCCGAGCCAGATGATTTTCTAACATACGTTGTTATTGTCCCTTACTCCGTGGGAGAGATTGAGTCTAGGCCTCCAGTTACGCAGGTTTATCACAGGCGGCCGAGGGAAGTTGACACACATGCAACCCCACCGGTTCCACCAGTGAATCCTCCCTTACCAGAATCTTTATCGATAGATCAGGATGTTCTTATCGCCATTCGGAAAGGTAAATGTTGTTGTGTTCATCCCATTCAGTCCTTTGTGTCATATACCAATTTATCGTCATCTTCACGTGCTTTTGTGTCTCAGTTAGAGTCTATTCCTGTTCCAAAGTCTTTGAGTCAGGCTATGTCCCACGATGGTTGGAGGCATGCGATGGTAGAGTAGATAAACGCTCTTGAGGAAAACCAGACCTGGGATCTAGTACAGCTTCCACCTGGTAAGGTTGCTATTGGGTGCAAGTGGGTTTATGTGGTTAAAATGAACCCGGATGGTTCTGTAGCTCGACTCAAAGCACGCTTGGTGGCCAAAGGGTACGCACAAACGTACAGTATAAATTATACCGAGACGTTCTCTCCAGTAGCCAAGTTAACTTCTGTGCGTATATTTATCTCTTTGGCAGCTTCAAGTCATTGGCCCTTGTACCAGCTTGATGTGAAGAATGCCTTCTTACATGGTTATTTGTGTGAGGAGGTCTATATGGAGCAACCGCCAGGGTTTGTTGCTCAGGGGGAGTCTAGGAAAGTGTGCAAGCTGAAGAAGTCTTTATATGGGCTAAAGCAGTCTCCGCGTGCGTGGTTTGGAAGGTTTAGCAACGCGGTTGTTGAATTTGGAATGAAGAGAAGTGCATATGATCACACTGTCTTTTACAAGCATACTAACTATGGGTGTGTTTTGTTGATAGTGTATGTAGACGATATTGTAATTACAGGCAGTGATGCAGGTGGAATCGAGGCTCTCAAGTCCTTTCTCGGAACTGAGTTTCATACTAAGGATTTGGGAGTGCTGAAGTACTTTTTGGGAATTGAAGTGGCGCGCTCTAAGAAGGGCGTATTTCTCTCATAGAGGAAATATGTGTTAGACTTGCTCGGTGACACAGGGCTGCTTTGGTCAAAACCGTGTGACACGCCCATGGAACAAAGGTGTGAAGTTGTTGGCAGGAGAGGGGGAGCCGTTTGAAGATCCATAGAGGTACAGGAGGTTAGTAGGAAAGTTGAATTATTTCACAATTACTAAGGATGGCAATGTGCCCCGTCCCTGATGGGGATCCCCGATCCCCGCCCCGACAGAGACGGGGATGGGAAATTTTTTGGGGAACGGGGACGGGGACGGGGAATATGTGTGGTTCCCCGCCGGGGACGGGGATGGGGATACCCCTCCCCGCCCCGCCCCGTCCCCGAATATATATATATATATATATATATATATATATATATATATATATATATATATATATATATATATATATATATATATAATTTATTTATATAGTTATATATTTATATATATGTACTAGCAGCATAATGTCGCCACTGTATATAAGCAGTATACTATATATATAGTTTAGTATTTTAATTTTTGAATAGATTTTAAATTTTTTTATTGTTAAAAATTACAATTATTTAAAAATTTGACTAGCAGTTGACGGGGAATGGGGAGTCCCCGTCCCCACCTAATTCCCCGCGGAAACGGGGATGGGGAATATTTTCAATTTCCCGTCGGGGATGGGGACGGGGACGGGGATGGGGGCAGGGTTGCGGGGACGGGGACGGGGAGTACACTCCCCGCCCCCGCCCCGCCCCGTTGTCATCCCTAACAATTACTCGTCCGGATATTGCGTTTCCAGTGAGTGTGGTTAGTCAGTTCATGAGTGCGCCTACACAAACTCACTGGGAAGCAGTTATTCGAATTGTAAAGTATCTGAAGGGTGCTCCTAGAAAAGGGATTCTTTACGCTAACCACGGGTATATGCGTGTTGAGGCGTTCTCTGATGCAGACTGGGCTGGTTCACTGAGTGACAGAAAGTCTATGACGGGCTATTGTGGTTTGTAGGAGACAACTTGGTATCGTGGAAGAGTAAGAAGCAGAATGTGGTATCGCGCTCAAGTGCAGAGTCGGAATATAGGGCTATGGCTCATGTGGCAAGTGAAATCGTCTGGGTGCATAACATTCTAAAAGAAGTGGGTGTTGAAGTGAAGTTACCAATAGATTTGTGGTGTGATAATTGTGCTGCCATACACATCGCGAGTAATCCGGTTTTTTCACGAGCGGACGAAGCATATTGAAGCTGAATACCATTTTATACGGGAGAAAGTGGAGCAGAAACTAATAAGCTGGCTGATACATTCACGAAAGGGCTTTGTAAGAGTCGGGTGTTATATATATGTAAAAGTTGGGCATATTTGATATCTATGCTCCAACTTGAGGGGGAGTGTTAGAAGTTTGTTACAGGGTTGCTCTCAGCTACCCATTTGAATTTCAAATGAGTGGCCAATCTTCTGTTAGACTATGTATATATAGGCTTCTCTGTACAGCTTATCATTTATTCAGTTCAATATATACATACACTTCACTACAAAGTTCTACAATATACAACCAAACCCGCCACAACATAGGTAGAAGAGAGTTGTAAAGCAAACTGCTATTGTTGACGCTTTTTTCATGGTCACCTTTTCTGGAGGAGTTTCCTTCAATGTATCCTTCACATATTCGATGTTTTTTCAATCATATAATTAATTAAACATTTCACTATCGGTTATTCTTGTTCAAGAGAAAATGTTCAATTCTCCATGATAGCAAAATTGGTGCACCTGTATGTTTAAGAAAACAAGAGAGAATGGGAAAGCAAAGGCAATTGGCCCAGTTTGGTAAAAAATTGGCCTATAGGCCAATTTTAGCCTATTTGACAACTATTAATTGTTTGATTTAGTTAAAATATCAATATAAATATTTGGTTAATTAGCTTTTTGCAACTCTAAAAGGCTAAAATTCAAAAAGCTACTCCAAGCAACTTTTTCAATTAGCTTTTTGAAAAAAGAAATTATACCAAACAACTATCAGCTAATTTACCAAACACTTTTCTACAATTAGCTAATGTTATCAACTATTTATACCCTCTAATTAACACAATCAGCTAACAGCTAACAGCTAACAGCTAACGACCATTTTACCAAACAGGGCCAATGTCTCCAAGCGCTTACGCAACTGACCATACTTTCTCAACCGCATTGTCAGAAGGCAATCCAGTAATGCTACCCTTTATTTCTCCATTCTCTGAAAATTAAAATTCGCCCAACGTGTAAGTTTAAGTGCATGGAACGCCCATCAATTTTAAAATCTGGCAAGGAAATTATTGTAAATTTCAAAATGAAGATGGTTAGGTAATGAATGATTGTTTGGACATGGATAACCTACCAATTACTTTCGCTAAGCCTAGTCCTGCTCCAATGAATGAATATGTGAAAGACACGATTGCTGCAACTACGGAGAGCCACTTTGTGTTCTGAAAATCACGAACCTGAGACACTAGAACTTGAACCGCTACAAATATAACCATATGTATTGTAGTTGAATAGCTACAAGCAGCAGCATGCCCTTCATAGTGATAGCAGTTAGACTTGAGAATTGCTCTGCACTAAAAAGAGGAATATATCACTAAAATTATCCAAAACGTACTAAGAAAACGAAGCCATCATTTCAAAAGCACAAAGTATGGCTTTATCTAGCTAGGACTAGCAGCCGATTGTTTTGAATGCTAAACTTGTTGCTAGATGAATGAGATTACATGGAAAAGCAATTCGCACGTCCTAAAAATTCAGCATCCAGTAGCTGCAAATTATTGTAAAGGAACAGCATATAACTTTTGGCATACCCGATACTACTAGCAGTGGTGATTGTATACACAATTGCAACCTTGATGAAGTTAATTTGAACAATGATGCCACAAAACCAAGCGTTTTTCTTTCATGATCATATAGAATAAAGCACGTTAAGTCATAATGGTTTAAGTTCTGTTACACTGCATATGCAATACACTCTACCAACAAGTTTGAGGGCTCTTACATTTTGTAAGAAAACATTTTCGGAGAATGGCTTGGGATTGTTCAGACTTGATAAAAGTAATAAGCTTGAACTTAGGCTTCAAACTAGATACTTATGTTTTTCTCAGATAGCAAAATTTAGGATTCAAAGTAGATACTTATGTTTTACAAGTGAAACAACTTGATCTTATACGTTTAAGCTTGTCTAAAGTTGCGCATTCACTTGTAAAACATAAGGATAAATTAGTGTTTATCCTGATCCCGAAAAGTTTTGGAGAAGCAATAGTACCAGAAAGAACTGCCAAAGGCCTAAAGTTTCATACTTTCATCAAGCTCATTATATTGCTCACCTAAAATTGACCGAACTGCATCAAGGTAAGAGCCATGGCGGATGGTGCACTCTGGGTCAGTGGATTTGTGGCAGTTGCAGAGAAGAAATGCAGAAATAAGCGTTACAGAAGCAAAACACAGCGTGGACAATGGACCTGCAATCCATCCTAGTTGTGCCATGCTCCAAGCTAATGATAGCTCTAAACCTTAGAATCACACATTAGCACATAACAAAGGAAATAAGCTATAAAAATCTAACCTTTCACTTCTTGCATAGACTGCCTACAGATTTTATTTCTTGAAATTGCTCTTCGCTTTCATCAACTAGACCTGCAAAGCAGTATACATTTAGAACTACCTCAAGGGTTTGTTCATCTGGATCACATCTTTCCTTTTCCATACAATGAGAAAAATTCTGCCTCCATCTTTTTCTGCCAAAAATTGAAAGTCAATATCAGAAAAAAAAAAAAAAAAAAAAAAAAAAAAAGGTAGAATTATCAAGCAGAGCACAAATATTATATTATATTGTCAAAAGAGCATTTTCTGATTAATATCATTCAAAAAGCTTTATGAAACAGTTTCATACAACAGATATATATTATTACCTAAGCTCTATATCTCAAGGACTCTACTGCATTCTTAGTGAGCAATGGAAAGGGAGCAATAAAATTTGATTCATTGCCATCATTTTCTCCTAATAAAGATTTGACCTCTTCAATAATTTCAGCTTCTTCTGGAGAAACATGTTTAAGCACAATCATAAGGTTTTAAAATCTGTGGATAGAAAAATGTTGGGCAATGGCAAATATAGAATTTATGAACTACAATTGATACATTGAACTGCAGCTAACCTGGTCTCAAGATATTGAAATTGTAATTCTTTTTTTCCTGTACAATCCAACCAATATAATCAACTCATCAACACTATCAATCTTTAATTCTATCAACACTTTACTCCAATGTCCAAACTTTCTCAACACTTAAAACATACTATATTGCACACTACGCCAAATTTTATCAACATTACTTAATTAATCAATCAACACATATAAGTATCAAATAACAGTGAGTGTGAGCATATAACCATTAATGTGCAATCTAACTATTAGCTTAAGCTTTTGGTTGAGATGGAGCATATGCTTCAATTTGGTATCAGAGCCAGACCAAAGGTCATGAGTTCAAATCTAAGCATATAAGCACATGCTTCAATTGTGAGAAACATAAACATAAGATTCCTTACAGCAGGGAAGCCGCCATAATCCCATGGCTCATTTATATGCTTGGTGACACAACTATTAGCTGCTAGCCTGACCTGTAGCCCAATTCAATAATTATGTTGGTTATCTATCATGTATGGATAAACGGAATAAGAGTGCATTTATAAATTGCAAAGCATGGTGATAAAAAGTTTGAAAATAAACCATTCAAGAAAATGGAAATGCATATGAATATTTATTCAACCACAGATAGTAATTATTGAATGAAAATAATAATAATTTAAGTAACTACCTTTGAGGCAATGCATACATCATCACGAATTGCAACTCTTCCCACCATAGTTACATAGTCACCTATGTTGAAAGAAGCTTAAAAACATTTGCAGAGATTGTGTAGCCAGAGGCACATTTGCATTACAAACAAGTAAACAGTGCACATTTGCATATAGATAAGAAATGAGATTTACAATAACAACCTTTAAAAGTATAAGCTACAGGCAATGGACTTACTTTGCACCCATATTTTTTTGATAGTTGCTTTAGAACATCCTCACATGTCAAATATTTAAGTTGAGAAAACATCATTAAACCACTGTTGCACAAAACCAAACCACATTGAATTGTGTATTGAAATGATGATATGAAAACACTTGTAAAACCATATTTAGCAAAAAGAATATGTATTTACCTCTGCTCTGTATACTTCTAAGAATAGGTGTCATAGCAATATAGTGTAGCATTACAGTGGCTAGCAAAACTAAGAATAGGTGTCATCCTATCAATGAAATTTTTATAAGGAAGCACGCAAATTAAAATATAGCAACAACATTACAGTGGGTAGCAAAAATAAGAATACATTGATTTCCATGATTTGAGTAACTGGTGGTAACCAGAATAAAAGCTAAACTAAGGTATTGCAAACTATACTGAGGAACTTACACTGTTATCTCAGAAAGAGATGGCAGTACAAGAGTGAGTTCCAGATTCAATCAGTTGATATATTTCAAAATTTTGAGTTGTCCCTTGACTTTTTCTGCATTATAGCCTGTGATTAGCAAGCATAAAAATTGATTCACAGAAAAAGAAATAGTAACAAGTCATGACTCAAAAAAGATACATCTATCTATCAAATGATTTCATTACTAGCTAACACTTTTAAAGATGGTGATGAGCATTATTGCGTGATGTCAATCGGCAAAACGGGCAGCTTCTCTGTTTCTGGAGCCATGAAGCAATGCAATTATGGTGAAAAGTGTGAGAACATGGCAATAGCGTAATATTAACTCCCACTGAGAACTCTTCCAAACAAATCGAACATTCCTCCTCTCCATCACTCTTGAACCTTTCTTGTTTTTAATCTCTTCCAAATTCAAACCCCTTTTCCTCCTCTCCATCACTCTTGAACCTTTCTTGCTTTTAATCTCTTCCAAATTCAAACCCCTTGGTGGCTCCTCGTCGTCCTCTTCATCCTCATCATCCTCGTCATCATTACCAAAGTATAAGATCAGACTACTCCATCATCATCATCAAAATTAGCCCGCACGCCCGTTGGTAGTCTAGCGTTGGGTGCTTGGTAGTCTAGCGTTGAGTGCAGTTCTGACTCCTTAATCTCCACAAAAGCAGTGGCTTTGTATGTACCGCCGCCATTGAAGCGGCGGTGCCCAAATGCAACTTGTTGCGCGTACACTGCGAAGATTCGTCGGGAAAGCTGGGCGCATAAGGAGGGAGACAATCCCGGCAGCCATTGACGAATTTGGTCTCAAGTCACGATACGACAACCTAGGATAATCGAAACAAGCCGCATGAGTAGCTTAACTGATTATAGAGGTGAAATTTTGAAATAATAATCAGGGATCGAATCTCACTAGCGGCAGTGTGGGAGCAACCTCTCAAAGTGAGGGGACTTCTTGTGCGCAGTGAGCACTGGTCTAGCCTCTATAGTTCATGCTCACCATGATTTACATTCTCCCAAATGCTTTGTCGGACCGAGGTGTGGGTTCATCCTTTTGGAATAAGGATAATCGAAACAAGCGTGGGAGTCGGAGCTTGTCTCGTAGAAATCAGATTTTGTTAGAAAATATTTGCAACATCAGGCACTTTTAAGAAACACGAACACATAATTAATTTTTTATATAAATATGATGCATATAACTTGAATGTATCATCATCATAATTAATTTTTAAAAACACCTTTGCTCCACAAATATAGACACACTACTAAACCATTTAAATCTTAGAATTAATTTCACTTTTAGTCCCACGACTTTTGATATTCTATCACTTTTGGTGCACAACTTTAAAATTTTTTAATTTTGGTGCCTAACTTTGTTATTTTTATCAGTTTTGGTCCTTTCGGCCAAATTGACAGCGAAATGTTGTTGGATTTTATATTTTTAGGGGTAAAATTGTCATCCTAAGGAAGCATCTTCAATATCTAAACAAAATCACTTAAAATCATATCTATAGGTGTTTGATCGATGAGAATAATGGGGAAGACGGGCAGAAACCAGACAGATCTATGGGATTTATAGTTTCAACCATTGGCAAACTCTTTTTTTCCTTTTAATATGATTTTTCTTTTGTTTAAATATTGAAGATCTTTAAATTGGATGACGATTTTGTCCCTAAAATATAAAATCCGGAAATATTTTACCATCAATTTGGCTGGAAGGACCAAAACTGATAAAAATAACAAAATTAGGCACCAAAAGTGAAAAAATTTAAAGTTGTGCACCAAAAGTGATAAGAACTCAAAAGTCGTGGGACCAAAAGTGAAATTATTCTAAATCTTATGTCCTTTTTTTGTTTGCATATTTATTCTAGATTTTTTTATCTAACGTTTCTGATCTCAACATATATCGAAATGATACTATAGTTGTGTTGTAATGAAACTATAGTGTATATAAAATGAAACTTGAAACTGAATAACAGTTTTATATATTTGAGTGTATAATGTCGAATGAAACTGTAGTTATATCGAAATGAAATTGTACTTGCATTGAAATAAAACTATAGTGTATATGAAATAACTAGTTTTTTACGCGCATTGCGCGATTGGGATAATGCCCAATGCTTTTTTTTAAATAAGTACTTTAAAGTATATTAAGGCAAGATTATATTGAAATTGTTCATGCATAGATAATTGAAGGTTGAATTTGCGTATTTAAATAGGTTGAATGGGGTGGGGGGATGTTCCTTTTTCTGTCTGACTACCTTCCATAAAATGACAGTAGTAGTCATGTAGCCTAGGAGGAATGGCCTTCTGCCTTGTTGACCTCCTAGGTGGTGTGTGGCCATGTGACTGAATAGTAGCTTCATCATCTTGAATATGAACAGAAATATTATCACTGACTGAATCATCAGTATAACCATTGGTTTCATGACCATTAGTTTCATGAGAGATAGGCACTATATCATCATTGTTGGCAATTGCCTGATCAAGCTCTTCAGTGGCCATGGCATCACTGCACTCAGGATTTCTGTTATGGTAAGATTCCAAAGAAGTTATCTCTTCTCTTAATGTGATAGGAATCACAGGCAGTGAAGGACCAGAACTATCTTCTGCAGTAGGCTTAGAAGTATCTGTTGAGCTTTGACACTTAAAAGGGAAGATTAGTTCATAGAATCTAACATCCCTTGAAACAAAAGTAGTTTTGTCATCTACATCATATAGGATATACCCTTTCACATTGGCTGGATATCCTAAAAAAAATGCACTTTCTTGCTCTAGCTTGCAACTTGTTTCTGCCTTGTGGAGTAGTGGCACCAAAACACAAGCATCCAAAAGTTCTAAGCTGCTCAAAATCCACATCCTTCCCAGTTAAGGCTTGAAATGGAGTCTCCCCATTAACAACATCAGTAGGCAACCTGTTAATGAGATATGAGGCATGTAACACACAATGCCCCCAAAACTGAATAGGTAAACCAGATTGGAATCTCAGGGACCTAGCAACATTCAATATG